GCACCAATCAGAGACGTTTTGGTGGAAGAGACGCACAGGTTGTGCTTTGGAAGCTGACATTTCTCCTTTCATCGACTCCCCGCTGCACGCATCACAGGGCGCATTGGGACTGCTGCGGCTTTACATAAGGGGAGGAATTCTGGGGCAGGATCAGAGGGATGGCAGGGAACTCTACTTACTAATGCCACATTGTACAGTGAGAGATGTTTTGCATGGATCTGAATAAGCGCAGACAGGTTAGCCGCAAGCTAATTGGCTAGTGGGTCTCATTGTTAAGCTAATTCTCGGCACTTTGGACTCCATTAGGACTGTACTCAGGGTGCACAGAAAACCTAATAACTGCTTATGTAGAGCAGCCATATTTATGCACATATATTAGCATCTTTATCAAACATTTTTAATGATGGGCTTTGAATAGGAAGCATTTTAAAGGATTAATAAGCACCAGCTAAAGGCATCAAGATGCAGTTGTCTGGGATACAATTAACATTTGGTGTGTGTGTCTGTGATGTGGAGGTGTAAGCATGTTGTTTCCTGTGCCTGCAGGGAAAGCTTTGCTGCTGGATCCATCAAACACAAACACGCATTATAATACACATGTTAGTACACACAAAAAGGCAAATAGGATCTGGTGAGACATTATGTAGTAATAAAATAAGACATTTTATGGTGATCACATCAAGGTTGTTTTTAATATATAACAGAAATTGTATGATATTTGAATCTTGCACCACTGTTTTAAGTCTGGATTGTATTCAAATAAACAAATACATCAATTGAGCGGGGTTTGTTTAGTTTTTGCATCTTCAAAATGTAACTGCAAATTCTATTATAGCCCAAGAAAATGTTGCTAGGTTAAGTGAAAATGTAAGGAATGGTTTTAATCATTCATTCCCAAGCTTATCTGCTAATTAAGTGTATTGGATTTCACATTTCTAGGTTCCAAGTTTTTGAAACATAAATTAAGTGACGTCTTCTCACCAAAACCCCAGAAAAGTTAAAGTCAAACAGAGATAATGTCAGGCAGTTGCTAAATGTAGCTACGTGTATTTGGCTGTCTGAGCAGGATGCAAATCAAATCAAATCCTAATTGCTTGAGATTTTTTGTAAGATTATTTATTATTTTTTGCATGAATTTAAAAGTTTCCAGTTAACAGAGTTAATGTGATGAGAAGTTATACGACAGTGCTGAAAACGCAAACAAAACTCCATCGCAGCATTTTTTCAAGCGCGAATGCAAAACCCATCAGAGATTTGCTCGCACACGAACAGAGCACACTGGACCTTGAGATGGTGATTACCGTACAATGTGATTTTAAACTGATGCCGTTATGCGGGACACATGATGATAAGCATTGGATACAGTACACACAAACATACTGACTGCAAAGAAAATCCCTACATCCTTTTAAGCTGAGCAGGCCTGAACCATATGAGCTGGACTCCTGGAACAATCATTGCATCGTACATGGCATCTAATTAAATGTCCATGAGAAGGGAGATCCACAGATGTGTGCGGGAGACATTGTGTGTGTGTGTGTGTGTGTTGGCGTATTGGGCTCCTCAATTCTGCGTTCCCAAAGGGACAAACGCTGCAATCACTCCATTAACGAAAAAGGGGGAGAGAGAGAGAGAGAGAGACGAGGATGCTGTTAGAAAGCAGAGGGAGTAAGAGAGGGATGTGGGGGAGGGAGGGAGGACGGAACACAGCTGACTTGGCCAATAACAGCAAATGAGGTTGGATACAAGCAGGAGGGGGGGCGGTCAATGAGCTTCGAAGACATGGACACAATGACTAGAACATGGGAAGGGAGGCGCGAGGGAGGGAGGTGATTGACAGCAGATAAAGAGGAGTGTGGGGGGGAGGGGCTGGGGGGGGGGGGGGAGGGGGGTGAAGTGTAGAAGCAGACAGATGAGAGCGAGAGGGAGAGAAATGGAGACCAAGGAGACAATCTAGGTAGGAGAAGCATGGAGTGTGAAGCCAGAGTCAAAGGCTGCAGATGGCACAGGGCTCCCCCTCAAAGCAACAGGAAGCTCACAGTGTTGATGCAGATGTGTTTATCACGCGAGTCGCACGTTAACATAATGACAAACACACCACGTATGCGCGCAGACACGCACACACACGTCAATGGTTTGCAGGCTCATTGCATTACTCTCATCAAATATAGATTGTAAACAAATTACGGGGTCACGACACCGGGTGTAAACTGAAACTCGCCCCTGTGGGAAAAACCCGCCGGAGGATTGTTGGCGTAAATTGATTGGATCAGAAGGGAGAAGAGGCAGAATCGGATTAAATACACAATACGTTGATTAGTTCTGTGTGCACTTAGACCCATAGATGCAATTTTAGACCCCAATTCTCTTAAATTTGGATTTAACATTAAATTGTTCCATCATATGCAGTATTCCTGTTACAGCGTCCTTGTTTTAATGCTTCAAATATGCAAATGTTTGTATATATGTTATTATTAGATGTTTTCCTTTTCTAACAATTCATTAAAATGGCCTCCTGCTGGTCACCACTGTAACCAGGCAGACATTTTAAGGAGGACGCTAGGACACTGAAATCCATACGACTGAATCAATACGTATCAGAGGTGACACGGGGCACCATTGTTGAGTAAACAAACTGGGTAAAGTAAATGCTCAAAATGACCCTTGATAATGCTGCCGAGTGGGATTTATTTGTTCTACGCGTCTTATTGCTGGAGGACTGCGCCGTGTGTACAGAAGCATGAAGGAAGCACACGGACATGCAGAGGAAAACAAAAAAAAAAAAGATATAGAGACACGAGGAGGCAGCCTTCAATTCTTGTTCGTCCCCACGCTGGAGAGATTGATAGCTGCATTCAGGATTTCTATACGCCGCTAATTGGATTCACAGGTCATTAGATAAAGTACACGAGTGAGACTGATACAGCCGAAAGACTTGAGGGAGGAGAGAGAGGGAGGGAGAGAGAGAGAGAGGGAGGGAGAGAGAGGGAGGGAGACGGGTGCGAGACGGGCAGTATTGATAAGGTTGTTGGGTTCAGGACCAATGAAATTTCCTCCCCCTGTGCTGCGCCTCCAAAGCCTTGTTCCCCCACACAGAGGGGGGTGGGGGTTGATCAATAATCCTTATAGCAAGAAAAGGTGGGGGTTGCAGACGGAGGCAAGGAGGGATGTGAGAAAAGGAAATAAAGGGAATGGGTTGACATGTGATACGCTTGCATGGATCTCAAGCTGCCGGTTGTTTCTCCGTTTCAATATATTGTGGCAAGAGAAAGAAATTAGATTAAGCTGAGCTTCATTCCCGATCAAGGAAACCAGTCTGAGTCCTACGAGAAGGGCGGATGGTACTCTTTTCCAACGGCGTGCGATTGTAAGCTAAATCGGCCATCATCCCGAACCAGTACAGAAAGACCGCAGTGCCCAACGCAGCGACAAATGAGCTCGATGCAACACGCTGTACTTGTTTTAGCGAGCCAGCAGGGCTTGTTGTTCTAACATAGGAGGGCACGGGGACAGTCTGCTCAAACACACACAGGCATGCAGATGGCTGTTCATTAATTACAGATGGATGGGGGGAGTTAAAGAGAGAGGACGAAAGGGAGAGAGAGAGAGAGAGAGAGAGAGAGAGAGGTCAAGTAATGGACCCAGTATTCTCTCTCTCTCCCTGGACAATTACCTCTGTCTGCCCCAGACCTCTTCTGGCACTCTTAATCAAGGTGCAGGTGTGAGGCTTTCCTGTGCTAGTGTGTGTGTGTGTGTGTGTGTGTGTGTGTGTGTGTGTGTGTGTGTGTGTGAGCGTGTGTGTGTGTGTTGTGTAGGTTCCTGCCGTCCTCAGCAGTCTCTAGCAGCAATCCGATTACAGCCACTGCTGCCCTCCCCTCTGAAAAGGTCTCCAGCTCACCTTAAAGCGCCTTCTTCACACAACAACTGCCACTCCCACGCTAAAAGTATTCACATGAAAGTTAAATAGCAACTCCGCTACCTCAAATGCATACACGAAAGTATATGCATATGTACACACACACACACACACACGCAGACACTAGTCCACCTTCTCCAGAAGGGTTGTGGGTGGGCTGTGAGCTGACCTCACATCATCACCCTGGCTGTTGGCAGCCATTACTTTGGCCCCTTGGGGCCTGGCCACCCCTCACCGAGCCTTCTGGACACTGTGTTAAGAGACTGCAGCAGGTTTATGTGGCATCATAGACCCATGACTTACATATTCCAGTAGCCTCTGCACATTGATGCAGCACCAAAAATGTGCGCCGCGCTCCATATATGGCAGATGAAAACCTGACCAAGGACTGGGGCTGGGCGGTATACCGGTTCAAACGGTATAAGATTTCCGTACGCTACGAGTTTCTCACGTGCCGCTCATACCGGTGTTACGCCATAACAACTGACGTTGCTCTGCGGCGGGCGGAAGAATTTATTTTTTACGCGTCATCGCGGAGCGCCCAGCGACCCAACCTGAACTCAAACGCAATCCTCCACTCGATCAATTAGTAGAGGAACAAGCGCCACTTTACTAAACCGACTCAGTCGGATGAATCAGCATTTCTCAAAGGCTTATTACTTATTACAACTTATAATTGTATTTATTCAGCAAAAGAGGCAATTTGGCCACATCAGGCTGTTAAAAAAACAAGAAAATCTATTAAAAACGGGCGATGGTTTCATTAAATACAATAAAGTGCATTGACAAAAATCTTTATTTCCATTAGAGGCATTGTGTTTAACATTCAAGCCTCATTCTCACAGGGATTTCTTTGTATTCCACATTACCCTTCGAAAACTTCCAGACGCATTATAAATGACTGATTATAAATCGTATTTCCCTATAGTTTATAGTCCGTCCTCATCAGACTACCACTGTGTAACCAAAATGTGCACCTCTTCACCTACATGCGCCCGGGCGGGCGGATTAGTGGGGAACTTCGGGCCAGCGTGAGGACGCGAGGAGAAACGGCGGAGCGGACAGGATGTGAAAATCTACTCACCAGCTTGAAATCCTGAATGCTACAGATGAAGTAGGGAGTGTTGGGCCGCCGGCTCTCGATGTAGACACAATCTGCAAGTGAGAGAAAGAGAAACCAGAAAAGTGAGTTTGGAGAAAAACGTTCCGAGAGCTTTCATGTTTTATGCCAACAGAGAGTAATATATTATTTTGGGTGCTGTTACCTCGGCTGAAAAGACATTTTTCCTCCTTGAGTCAAATTCAATTGGAACGCGAGTAATAGGATTAAGGACTTTTGGAGCGCTACAAGGTTGCCTTTCTAAAGCAAACATTACACCCAAGGGGAATTATGTTATTGTTCCACTCCATTTATACACCAGTGAGCAACACTGGCTTTAACCCCATTTCACTCCAGTAGTCTTCACTGAGACGCGTTCCTGCAGAAATGACAACTCCTGTCATTGCACTGATAAATGTCCAGTTAACAGTGTGTTGGCACAGCGCAGGGGGGGAGAGAGCTAAATACACCTTCTGTCTTTTCAAGTTTTAAAAAGTAGCCAAATTACACAACCCTCAAGTGTTGAGGGCGTCCCCCCCCCCCCACACACTTTGTGTGTGAGGAGGTGGCCCTGGCCCGGCCGTGCTGTTAAATTGGATGTGACTGGTGGTATGGCCGGGTCACGAACCCTCATCTCCTTAACAAAAACATTCACGCTGCAGAGGACAAAAACACACAGCCACTTCTGTGGAGAGAGAGGAGGAGGAGGAGGGTGGAGGAGGAGGAGGCGGGGGGGACATGGCTAATGGTTACGGCTAAGCCTGGCACAGTACTTTCCAGAAACGGGGGTTAGAATTATGGGAGAAAAGGAGATTTGAATCCACAAAAGGCCAATTAGCATAATAGTCTCCCGTTCACCTTGTGCTTTTAGCTGAACCGCAAAACCAGCAGTGTGATCCAACGGAGAAAATCTATTTATTTGGGTTTAAATGACAACCAGTAAAAGGCAGATCTCACTTGCTCAACTTGAAAAAACACATCACACACTCAAAATTGACCTTCTGTTTGAACGGAAGCAGTGCAACAAGCTATTTGCCCCCCCCTCCCTCCCCAAGATGGTTTTCCCCGGCATTTGGTGCAACGGAGCGTAGCCCCCACGCCTCAACATCAACACACAGGCCACAAAGACGGACAACATGGTGCAGCTCTGTAAGACTTGCAGTATCGGGGGGGCGTTTCACCAAAACGAACGGACGCAAAACGAATCTGTTATTTATTTGTTTGCGTCAACAGTGAGTTATTGATCTGACTGTGGTTTATCTTACCGCTTAAAGCGCAAAGGGAGGCTGGTAAAGATATTAAATGGCTCCGACACCCAAGATGCCATTTGTAGAGGCGCTGGTGTGTACGAGTGCGACGTCATGGGCTTTGTTTTTTTAAGAGGATCTGTGTATGTGTGTGTGTGTGTGTGTGTGCGTGTGTAACCCCAGGGTGGGCTTGTTATCTGCTATGGCCTGAATGAGCTGTTCCAAGGGGAGGGGGAGAGGAGGGAGGAGGATGGGGGATGGGGGGATGGGGGGTTATCTTCCTCGCCGGACTCTGAGTGACGCATTATATCTCTCACTACTGGCCTCTTCTCGCTCCCCCCCCTCCCTCGTCTTCTCCCTCCTCTACACCATTCCCTGGAAGTCATTTACAAGATAACATGAATGAAAATATCCATCAGTGCTGTTGTGTGATCTGTGAACAACAGTGTGTGTTGAGAGAGAGGGAGGGAGGGAGAAGCGGGTGGAGGAGGAGAGTAGGAGTGGGAGGGAGTGGGGGGAGGGCCGAGAACAAAAGAGTCTAATCTGAATGAGATGACATGTTTCGGAGGAGTCAAATTGGGGGAATTAGGGTTTAGTGTCCCTTCACCTCGCCGGCACATTCATTTAGAGGGGCCAGGTCTCCGCGTCTGCACCCCGGAGGACGTCAGCGGGCAGGAAGAGCCGACAGCGGGAGGGAAAAGGATCGGCGCAGGGAGAACGGGGGATCTAGTTCAATCATTCGCAGACAGCAAGCGAGTCTATTCTTCCAACGTCAAAAGGCCCATTTTGAATTCATGCCGGGCACTAGAAGTTGACTCCCTCAAGGGCATTTCATATGCGAGCGCCGATGATGCGATCTTTTGATGAACGTGCAAGTTAAAACCCGGTTAGTGCTCTGGACTCCTCCGTCAGTCGGGTGGGGGGAGGCGTTGGGGCTCGTCGGAGTGAAAGGCCGCGCGGCTCCTCCGGGGTTCCGCCTGCCGCGTTAAACATTCCTGCCATTTTGTGCACTTGGAAGTGGGTCTCCCTGCTCAAGTGGGGAAGTGGAAAGGGGGAGGGACGAGAGGTTTAGCTGTGGAGGGCGGGAGAGGGGGGGGTGAGGGAGAAGGGGTCTGTGTGGGGGTTGAAGTGTGTGCTCGTTGGATGGATGTCGCCTCCGCCGTAGGAGGGAGGACCACAGCGGGGCCTTTGTAGCAGAGTGCTCTCACTCCCTTTGCAGCTGTTAAGTTAAAGTTCTTCTCTCCTTACACGCCGCTGCCGGCCGCCACGCCACCCAGAAGGACAGCGAGCGAGGGAAAAGTTCAAGACCCCGCCACTGGCAGATAATCGTGAGGCTACCGAGCATGCTTTCTCGAGACCTGGGCACGGCGCTGAAACCTGATCCGGGCGGTCGCTGCCTCAGGTTGTATCGCCGCCCCCGGTTTCAGGCTCAACGTTGTTAAGCGTACAGACCCTCACACACACACACACACACAGGCATACACATTCCAATTTACTCAGCTGTAGCTCATTGTTCAACCAGCCATTCTTTAATGGCCTCCAATGCCTGTCTAATCTAAAACACACGTAGCCTCGGCGGATAAAAGCTGCGCTCTCCTCTCCCCGTATCAAGCAAATAAGATGCGGTGTAATTTGCCGCAGCATTTCAGCGGAGGGGGAAGGGGAGTCTGGAGATAAAATCAGCCCGGGCTTTCTTTTACCAGACGCCAACAATGGGGAAAGTCACAATGTGAACACAGTCGTATGCGCCAATGTTTTGTAAACAGTGGAGGGGGGGGGAGAGGGGGGGGGTGCACTTGTAGAATGAGATCAGCTGAACACACCCAAGAATATGAGCACGTTTGAGGACACGAGCAGTCTCGTTGAATAAAGAGGAGCATTTGCCCGGGCCGTGCTCGCGGGCGGTGAGTGTTGGCCGTGAGGCCATAACGTACGGCGTGGCGCGCACACACACGCACACAAACACACACACGCACACAGCGGTGTAGCAGAGCTACCACCCTGGAGTGTACTAAAGTGTGTATCCTAAAATTAAATAGTATGAGGAATGCAATAATGGGACCACAGGGGTGCAAGGGGGGGACCAGAGGGCCGAGTGAGACAGAGAGAGGGACGTAGGGAAGGGAGGGAGGGGGGACCGGTGTCATTACTGAGCTGTTGCAAACCGCCTCAGAGAGGAAGACCAGCTGATGACTGAAGGAGCCTTTTGCCACTTCCTGCTGGGTGCCGGCCTGGAGGCGCACGGTACACTTTGATTGTTCCCCCCCCCACACACACAGACTTTCCTTCCCCTACCGCCCTCCATGAGCCCTGTGACTCTCCCTTCTCTTCTCCCGGAAAAGCAGTGGGAAATACCTGGCAAGCGATACCATCAGCTCTCTGCAACAGGGCCGGCCTGCAGCTGACCGAGCTCCTAGGGGAGAACAGAGGTTCTTTGACAACACCCCCCCCCCCCGCTCTCGGCTAGCCCACGCTTTCTCATTCAGCGGTCGGCAGGTGGTTTGATTTCTCTAAAAAAAGCCCTTTTCCCAGAGTTTTTAGCGTGGGGAGAGATGGGCAGGCAGAGAAGGCTTTTTAAAAATAGATCTATTCCGTTAGCGACAGGCTACAGATCTGCACTGCTACGCCTCAATACCAGACGACTGCGGGGCCCCGTCCCTCACGTCGGCTCGTCTGCAAACCGCCAAACTGATCGGCAGCTATTCTCCACGCCGCAGGGTATGTGCGATGCTAATCGAGCCTCGTCCTGAGTTGGTAACTCTACAACGGATCCCTAGTGTCGAATGTTGTTTGTGTGAAACTCATACATAGATTTCTGTGCAGGGCACTTTAATTAAGTGCAGGACAAATATATCTGAAAAGGGCTTCACGCCGCGTTAAGAATGAAATTACAGCACTTTCAAGGTACCTAATCCAAAAATGTCAAGAGTCTTAAAGGCTTTATAATCACATCTAAATCCTAACAAAATAGTCCAATTGTGAAATATAAAGTTGACAGAATGAATTATTATAATTATGCTCAGCGATCAAATTGACATTCTCTTTATTTCATCAGTTGTTACCATTAACTTCGATACCTACTAATTTCCAGAGCAGAAGAACTTTACCAAGTGGGTCGGTGATGAACAGACCACCGGGAAAAGGGGAACCTCTCGTCTGCAAACACTTTGCATCAAAACGATTCATAACGCCGGCGATGCAAATCAGCAACTCCTTCCTTTTGGCTGCAGCAGCCATGTTGTGTGACACAAACTGAGCTAGAAAGGCAGAAGGAGTGGAGGCAGGTGGTTTCCATTAGCGCTCTCCATTTAAAACAGACTAGCCAGCCGGTCGGTTATGGAGGGAGGAGACGCGCCGCCCGCAGCGCCCAGCACAGCGGAGGGAAGCGCTGAGCAGTGTGGATAGCGCTGGGTCTTTGTGTGCGTTCCACTGAGCTGCAGGAGTGTGCTGTTGAGCGATAGGGACGAGGTCTATGGCTGTAAAAAAAAAAAAGCCGCACTGGGATGCGTGCTGGTGTGTGCCTGTGTATCAGTACAGAAATACTGGTTAACAGGGTCCCAAGCATGTGTGCTTCCCCGACACGTTTTGTGTGCTTCTAGGGTGTCTGCTATTGATCCCCCCCTATGGCAGTGTGCATAATCTCCAGAGGGGGGGATCTGTAATCTGGTGGTGGGGGCTGGTGGACGAGTGTGGAGGAGAACCGGCTCTGGAGGCGTCCGGCCGGGTCTCGGGAAAAGGTGAGAGCTCAGCCACAGGACACGGATCGATTCGGCGTGTCTGTTTCGCACCGCGCCAGGCCGCTCACCCCGGCAGCAGACTACGCCGACGGCCCAGGACAAAGTCCCCCGGCCACACTCCTGCAACCCTTTTTTAAGCAGTGTAAGAGCTACAGTTAGCCGCGGGGCAAGCTACCGGCCAATTGCACACCCTTCCAATCGATCTAAGCCACGCGAACCCATCTCCGAGGGATGGAGAGGCTGAGCAGGGAGATTGGAAGGTGGCTGCTGACGGTTTCAATACCAGCTTACCAATTATGTATTGTATGATGACACAGGCCTGTATGCTTCTAAAGCTCCCCGCGTCAAAAGTTCTCTCCGATTCTGCACCGCTTACCATCAACGGGTTCTTCCCCCTCCACATGTCTGGGGCGGAGCAAATCCCTCTCCAGGGGTGGTTAGTTTTACATATTGTGTGTCACTAGACGGCTATAAAAGGATTTAACATTTAGTAAAGCATAATCCATGGCAGGCTTTGTGCCTGCCTAAGCTGCACGCATCAAATCTGATTGCAAGAAGGCTGCTACCAATGACCAAGCAGGAGGAGGAAAAACACACACACACACACACACACACACAGGGCTTATCACTTGAACAATGGGCAGAGGAGACAGCAGGAGGTCAGTTGCTGAGGTGGAGGATCTTCTACTTTGACAATGGGAGGTAAATTACAAACTAGCGAACTGGTGCCGGGGGCCACCGGCTACATAACCCGGGCTCATCCCCAATCTGAAACCAAACCAACAGCAGCCGCCGCCTCGCTGGAGGGAGCAGGTTGTGACTCTCGAGCCGCTCTGTTCCAGACCTGTCAGACTAATTGAGGGAGAGGACAGGAAACATAAATATTCCCCATCACCCCGACACTGGCTGTGCTGTGCACTCGGATGTGGAAATATAAATATTCGTCGGGGCTAATCCACTGAGACGGTCGACTTTGTTTATGTGCCTTTTGAATGTTTCATCGATGTGACTGACTGCTTCCGTCTCCTCCCACCTCCCCCACTCGCCTCCCCCCTCCTCCCCCACTCGCCCCCCCCCCCCTCCCCCTATCCGCATGGTTAAGTATGAGACAAAGCGCTGGTGCTCTCTCTATTAAACATGAAATGCAGCGCACAAAAAAAAAAGTGCTTGACCGGAGTCTGTTGCAGAGAGTTAGAGGAGCAGAGAGACCCGGGTTACTGCTCGCTAGACAACTTCTACTGGTACCCGTGCAGACAGAGATCATTTAGCCAACAAGATAAGAAAGCTAGACGGTAAGTGAAGGGCGGGGGGAGGAGGTCCGGCGCGTTCCACTGCCCCTACTTCAAGTTGTCTCTTTAGTATTTGAGTGTTTAGCGCGGATGTATTCATAGGCAGGTAGACGGAGAAGACTGTAACAACACAACGACACGCGGCTGGTAATTTCCTTCCATCCGTACACTACTTGACCTTTTGTCATCTGCTGGATAAACCAAAACGCACGGCTGCAATGATTCAGTTCTTGGGGCGGATAACATACACACACACGCGCACACGCACACGCACGTCTAGCTAGTCTGGCTTCCTTCTGATAGTGAGTGTTGACATCCCCCCGCCCTCTCTAATAAAACACATTTCTAAACAGTAGGTGAAAGAGAGGCCATGTTTACAGCTGCAGAAAAGGTCGGTTCCCCTTTTAGCCTTTTGCATCAGACGTAATAAAAACACTGTAGCGCAGCTCAAACCTCTCTGCAGGAAACCAGAGCACCTTTTTGGCCCCAGAGGAGACTGCGTGTTTTCAGTGAGTCGGATGGTGTTGGGATGAAATCATTATCGTGGCTGTCGTCACTATCACATCATCTACTGAAGCACCACTTTGTGTTTTATTGACTTAGGCCAAGACAAAGCAGCGAGTGGGTCAACTTGGAATTGATTGCATGACGTATTGGCCCGAGGAAGTGCTTCTGCTGTTAAGAGAGTTGCTACTCTGGTGAATTTGCGATGCGCCTGCAGCGTATTGCAACAGAGACGACCGCTTCTTTAAAAAGGGCCGCGGCATTTATCTTTGGTTCGTTTAGAATGGGTCTCAACGGCTTATTGAGAATGATGTTAAGAAGATGGTTCTTAAATATCAGTCAGCTGAGGAAATTGATGAATGGGGATTGACTCGCGTTCACTCGCGCTCACGCTCGGGTTCGCCGCGTTCAGGACTCACCTCCTGGTCTGTAAACAACGTCGTCTTCTGTGATGAAGGACGTGATCTCGCCGTTCTCCGTGCGCTCGTAGCGCGACTTCTTCTTCGGCGTCTTCTTCTTGCCCTTCTTGCCGCCCTCCTCGGCCGTGCCGCTCCCTCCGCCTGTGCTCCCGTTGTCGTTGTCCTCGTCCTCGCTGTGTTCGCTCTCTGCATAGTTCTTGGCCCCGCCCTCCAGCGTACAGCTGCGCCGGGGCCTGGAGCTCTCGCTCTCGCGGTCGCCGTCCTGCCGGCGGGACTTACCGGACTCTCTCTTGTCCCGATCCCTGTCTCTGTCCCTGTCCCGCTCTTTCTCCCGCTCCTTCTCTTTGTCGGCCGTCATGATCCGCCACGTGCCTTCCTCAGTCCTCTCACGGCTGGGCCTCCGTGAAAGGTAGACTGTGAGCCTGGGCTTCAGTCTTCTGAATTTACCAGTCAAATCCAGGGAAAATTTGGCCACACCAACAACCCCAGTGTTTCAGAAAAGCTGTGGACAAAAGAAAAGGGACAATTAGCATAACTTATTTCATCCTTATCGATAGGAAGCAACACTTTCCTGACCAAAATGGTTTTGAGTGGGGGAGAAAAACATGATCAGTTCCTAGAGATCAGGCAGCTGTGCTGACTCTTCTCAACAGCACAGTAATTGTTGGCACTCCCCTCCACAATCATGTATACTCTGGAGAGCACTGAGCAGCTCCATCAAAGCGTCGAACCTCTAAAGGATATTTTCATTTGTTCAGAAAGGCAGTAAAACAGAGTTATTAAAAGGGAAAAAGAGAAGCAGGATGACAACATGCAGTGTTTGTGACACAATAAGCTTAAGGGGAGTCGTAACTGAATACGCATGAAGAAGCGGTGCTGCATTGAGGACGAGGCAGGCGGCCAATGGAATTCCTCAGAGGTGACGTGTCGAGGGGGCAGACGCTGCTGGTCGCTGACGATGCCACGAGAGAGACGCAGCGTACAACTCAAAGACAGTGTTAACTGGCTTTCTTCTCTACAGACCATCTGTGATGACACCAGGCTGAATTTTACTCATCTGTGTGTGTGTGTACTCTGGCTCACTGGACAACACCCCACCTCTGCCCTGTCCGACAGACGCCGCTGTGTTAATGTGATGCGACGGCTCTGGAGGGACAAACACAGCAATCCAGCGGGTGCGGAAAGGGAGAGAAGAGAGGCTCAGCCGCTCGTTTGACGTGCCGCTGCCATTTTCTACTGTTGTTCACTCAAAATAAAATGAACTCAGCCACCACTTTGTCATGCCATAATGAAATCCTCCATAAACAGTTAAGTGGGCAAAGCTGAAGCAGCACGCTGTCTGCACCACGCTGCCCCTACAAAGGAGGCTTCTCATTTGCTGCCAGTGTTTACCCCTCCACCCCCACTGCAACAAATTAACTGGAAATAGTTATTACGGCCCCCCGAGGGATCAGAACAAGCAATCAGCACCGGCGTTACCATGGTGGTGATAGCAGGGGGGGGGCAGGGGGACAAATTAGGCAAGGGTAAAGATTGAGCCAGGTAAAGCACACTCGGCTTCGGGTGGAAGTGCATTTGTTGTAAGGGCGGGAGAGTGTGACGCGCACACACACACACACACACACACACACTGCAGCGTGTTTGACAGCGGCGCTCCTCAGCAGCGGGTGCTGTCATCTCATGAGCAGACACCAACTGACAGGGCAGATGCTCTTGTCGTCGGCTTCTACACAAACACCGGGCCTGATTAAACCGCAGCCTCGTCACAGCCCCATTAATCACCTAATGATGAGTTACCACGGCGACCACTGGGCTGCCGGCACGCACACACACACACACACACACACACACACACACACACACACACACACAGGGAACACATTAGCGCGGGCACAGGAAGCGAGGTCGTCGGGGGAAGTTGAAGCGGCCAACATGGAGTGCCGAAAGACATACGGTGCCACCTCCTGTGCCCGTGTCCAGCGGTACGTGGCAGAGGTGTGAGGAGCACGCAAACATTGATGAAGGTACCGTTGGATTGCACAGCTCTAAGTGGCGATGTGTGTGTGAGCTGAGCAGCACTACTCTCCTCTAATCAGTAACATAAGGCCTTTCCACCGAGAGCGACGAGGAGCCTGAACTGTTGCAAATGGCGGGCCGGCCCATTCTCCTTTGATGTCGTGGGCCGCCATAAGCCCGTGTAAGTGTCTTAACAATCTCGGTGCTATTAGTTTGCATCTGGTTACGCTTTACACACAACCGCCTCGTTCCAAACTCTGGGTCTCCAATTACCTTGATGACGTTAACATAATTGCATTTATTCGTAAAATATTTCCCCACGCAAACATGCGCTCGCTCGTAATTGTGTTCAAACTTTTACCAGTCAAAAGAACAATGTGTCCGTGGTTACATTTGCTGCGAGCACGTAGCTGCAGTGGGACGCAGATAAATGAGCAATTTGAAGCGGAACGAATTGAGCGAGGGAAAAGAGGAGTGATTCAGTGTGAAGTAGTAACACGGCGGCGATGAAAAGTCATAACGTATTGATGGCTGACACGGAGGAGAGAAAGAGAAAAGGGAGACGGAGAGGCACAGCGAGGGGGACGCCTCTCCACCCACGGCCCGGGAAAACAAAGTGCTCGGTAGAAGGCAGCGCCGCCTGCCTGGCCGATGAATAACGCGGCGAATGGGGGGGCAGGTGAGGCTTGCAGCTATTACACATCAATCACTGGGCCGGGACCCTTTGAAAGATACCAGCTGTCCTAATGGAAAAGAGAAGGAGGAGGAGGCAGTGGAGGGGCGTCCAAGCCAGCGTCACCTAATCCACCATTTACATTACTGCAGCGGAGTCGAGGACTAGCGGCCGGCTAAAATACATCTCTTTTTTTTTCCGAGGCCGTATAAATGAGACCTCTGGACTGAAAAACCACACCGCTTGTGCCTCGATTAACACATCATACACAACAGTGGCCACACAGCAGGTTTCTGTTACTCAACAGCTCTTTTCTTCTTCTTCTTGCTCCCTTCCGCCTACAAACAGCCGTATGAAACAAAAATGTTTCATCCATCCCAATTGCGCTCACATTTTCCCAAATCCACGCTCGGTCTGCGTGGTTTTATTTTAAAACCCGCCTCGTGGATAAACATCCAAATTAACACGCTTTGCTTGAGTAGCTTTACAGCTGTGCGGTTTCTTTTTCATTCCACCAGATTTTTTTAATTGAATATCTTGGGATTGCAAATTTGCAAAAGGAGGACTTTTTATGTACAGAGAATTTGATAAAAACGGAATTTTTCTACGTTTCAATGAAAAATTGAAAATAAACACAATACAACCAGCGAAGTGATCCGCTCCGTTTCGGGTGACAGATGGAAAAAGTCATTCACGGGGTATTCAATTGGAGAATTGAAGTAACAAAATGTGATTGGCAAGGATTTCGGGCCGGCTTTGCGAAGGGATTGAATGAAATACTCGCATGAATACAGATTAGAGGAGAACAATGTTCGCATGAATATACACAGCGTTATTAACAATGAGGGCGACTCAAATTGATCCGAATAAACCAGCATGATCCAGAGCACTGGACGGATCCGAGCTGTGGCGATGTTGCAGCAGGTTCTCGTCAGCTCCAATCCATTACTCAGTGCGATCTAATCTAAGCTGCCATTCAAGCCCCCCCCTAGAAACAACAGCACAATGAAAGGCTCAGCTGGAGGCGAGGGGTAGGCCACTTCATGAGGGATTCTCTGTGGTCGCCTTGCGCTGCCTGCTTTGTGTTACCTGCTGCAATCATGGCTTCCCTTATTCTCAGAGGCCCTCTCTGTTTTAGCTCACATCGGCAGGGTAAAGACACTTGTCTGCTCCACTTTTTTTTTTTTTCAATTCACAGACGAGTAACCACATCCTTTTTCTCTTTTTTCCCCCCCTTTCTTCCCTCTGCTCAAACTGTGCTCACAAAGGCCCCGTTTCTAGTCGGCATCCGGGGTTAGTTTAGTAGGTAAAAGCCGTGCTGGAGAAAGATAGCTTGGGGGCTTTCCAACATTTAAGGCCGCATCGAGACTCCGATGGCAAAAGGCAAAGCGCCGCTGCACAGGAACGCATTCTCGGGCAAAATGACACCGTGTGCAGCATTAAACTACACTGTCTAAAAACATTAAGGGGATTTAAAGGATCCTCGGGGATGGCGACGGAATGGATGGTTTTTCTTCACCAATACAAACAAGCTCTCTCTTTCCAACAGTCCACAGGTACGCTCACCCACAGACAGGATCAGACTGTGAGAGCCAGTCTCTCCATTTGTACTCTGCAAGAGCTCCAAATGGCCCTGAGGGGGCGGCTCCACAACCCGAGATGTCCATTATCCACAGGGTCTGCGAGCGGCCTTCGCTCTCGCAGCCTGATAGGCAGCTACTTCCCGACGCGGCCCGAGCCGGGCCGCTCCGCCGGGCGCCGCGTTTAGACGCGGCTCCTGGGGGAAATGCCTCGCTTGTCCATTGTCGCCCATCCCCTTTCCTCGGCATGAGGCACTCTTGAGAAATATAATTGTGAGCAGGCCAGTAATGGACCTCTCCCAGTGTGTCATTGATAAGAGAAGCGGGGGAATGCGAGGTATGTGGCGGGCAGGCAGCGCTATCATGAATGCGTCTCTTGATTGAGTTTACCCCAAAGATTGGTCTGTTGTGTGAATAAAGTGCCTGATTTAAAAGGATTTCTTGTGTCTTTTACACAATTCAATTTTTGGGTGAATATGCCGTTGTAATGGAAATGTACCCAAAGGTAAAACTGAGGTCAGCAGGGGTATAAATATGCACTGGGGACACATCCAGGCCTGACTTGCACGTAAAAATATATCGCGGGGCGGAGGGGGGGGCACATGACGTTTTCATGTCGGAAAAGAGACAACACTGATTTTGTCGTCGGCTGGAATGAAAGGACTCTTGAGAATTTAATACCTCAGCACTCAATCATGCACCACTTGCACCGATATCCAGCAATCAACCCCCCCCCCCCTCCCCCTTAAGATCTGCCCATCAGTTTAACGATCGTACCCATCAGCTCAACTCCGACTGGTTGTCTAAATGAGCGTGGGTGAGAAGGAAATGTATTCATACGGTTGCCCTACATCCTGCAGCTACTGTAATCAGCATGCCACACGGTGCGATGTGCCAGCACGGAGGAAAAAACCAACATGAATAGATCAGAGTGACAGATAGTGACGGCTCTGAGGTTTCAGACTGTCGGCGCAGTGAAGGATGTCTTGCAGAAACCGCTCCGAAAAACAAAGCCATTAGGTCAGTACACAAAACCAATTTCGCCAGCTAAATTATTAAGCTACAACCCGCAAACGCCGCTCTCTTTCCGAGCAGATGGTCGCGGGGGGAGGTGGGAAGGGGGTGGGGGGGGGGGGGGGCCTCCCTCTATTCAACGTCTTATATATGATGATCCAAGCCAAAAAAACACCTCCAACTCTAGATACCACAGGATGGTATTAAAACTAATTAGGA